GGTGGCGGGGCCGCGGAGGGCGTAAGGGGCCGCGCGAGGGGCCGTAAGGGACGGCGCGAGGGGCCGTAAGGGGCGGCACGAGGGGCCGTAAGGACGGCGCGACGGGCGCGACGGGCCGTAAGGGCGGCACGAAGGGCCGTAGGGGCGGCGCGACGAGCCGTGAGAGGGCCGCTAAGGGCGACACGACGGGGCGGTGAGGGGCCTAGCGAGGGCGCGACGGTAGGGAGAGCACACCGGGCGCGACTCGGGCCGGAGCGAGGCGCGCTCCGGGCAGGAAAAAAAAAAAAAAAATCGTGATGGTGGGCCCTAGGAATCGTTCCCACTAGGGAACCTGCTCGATACCATGAGAAGAAACGAGGAATGAAATGACTAAGGGAAAGTTGGGTACAAATGCAAACCCTAGGAAAACTGTACCCCATATGTGCTACCCCACTATAGCCTACAGTAGCTATGTCATATAAATCTGACAATTTTACTGGGACGTGATTGGCTGCGACGATATAACCCGCGAATTGACTGGACGACGGGTAGCTGCACCGTGCGAAGTAGTGGTAACAGGGTCGAGCTACCTCGCTGGCAGTCGCCCGAGTCTTCAACGGTACACGTCAACGCCATCACAATGAAACGGGCTGTCGCTGCTGGAGCTGACGTGTACGCAGTAGACATCGCAGTAGTAGAGGAAGCAGAGCAGCCGAGTGATTTCAAGAAACTCCTGGCAGCCGTACCGCCCGAATTAAGGAACTGTTGAAACGATACCCCGGGATTTTCCCCGACGACTTACCGGAAGGATTGCCACCTCAGCGAGCACATGACCACCGAATCGAATTAGAACCAGGGGCACAGCCAACCGTACAGCGCCAGTTCAGACTGACACAGCCCGAGCTCGACGAACTAAGGAAGCAATTAGATTACCTGTTAGAGAAAAAATTCATCAGACCGAGCTCGTCACCGTTCGCCGCACCGATACTATTCACGCCGAAAAAAGACGGGGGTTTTCGCATCTGTATCGACTACAGAGCACTGAACAGGGTAACAGTCAAGTCGCGGTACCCAGTTCTCCGCGCCGACGAACTGATCGACCAACTGCGAACAGCACGGGTTTTTTCGAAAATAGATTTACGGGGAGGTTACCATCAGATTAGGGTCGAACCATCGGACTGCGCCAAAACAGCTTTCAGGACTAGGTACGGGTCGTTCGAGTACACTGTGATGCCACTCGGGCTGACCAACGCACCGGCGACTTTTCAGATGACCATGAACGAGGCATTTAGGCCGCTCTTAGATAAATGTGTAATAGTTTACCTCGACGACATCCTAGTGTACAGTCGGGATAAGCAGCAGCACTTAGCAGATCTGGAAGCAGTGTTTAAGGTTTTAGACGAGCACAGATTACTGACCAAGGGTTCCAAGTGCGAGTTCTTCCAGGATAGGTTAGAATTTTTGGGGCACGTTATTTCGGAGGCTGGAGTTGAAATCGACCCAAAGAAGCTGGATACGGTAAAAGCGTGGCATCCCCCGACGAACATCACGGAGCTGCAGAGCTTTTTAGGGTTCGTTAATTATGTACGTCGGTTCGTCCCCGATATGGCACGGTTAACTGCCCCACTGACGGACTTACTGCGGAAGGGGGTCGCTTTTACGTGGGGGGAGAAAGAGCATGCTGCCTTCTCTGCCCTGAAAAATGTTCTCTGTTCCCCGCCCGTCCTGCGCATCGCCGACCCACACCGCCCATTCGAAGTAGTTACCGACGCAAGCGATATCGCCATCGGAGCCGTACTGCTATAGGATTTCGGCAATGGCCTACAGCCTATCGCATACGAGTCACGAAAACTGCATCCGCCCGAAAAAAATTACCCGATACACGACCGCGAAATGCTTGCGATCGTGCACGCGTTCAAAGTATGGCGCTGTTACTTGACTGGCGCGGACGTGACAGTACGGACAGACCATAAATCACTACAGTACCTTCGCGCACAGCCACACCTCAACCCACGACAGATTCGCTGGCTCGATTTCCTCGAGTCCAACTTTCACTATACGGTCACTTACAAAAAGGGAGCCTCGAACATCGCCGACGCACTGACCCGCCCCACTGCCCAGATCCACGCAATACTACTCGCCCAGACAAGCCCGCTACTGACAGGCCTATTCACCCACGGGTACCAGACGGATCCATTCTTCACAGGAGGAAATTCGCAGCAGTTCGCAGCAGCAAAGGGAGTCTATTACGTAAAAACTGGGACTGACCGCATTTGGGTACCTGGGTATACACTGCTACGGGAATTACTGTTACAGGAGGCACACGACGGAGTTACTTCGGGGCATTTCGGAGTAGAAAAAACACGGCAGCAGCTGCAGCGGTATTATTTCTGGCCCGAAATGTTGACCGACGTACAACGACACGTGGCATCGTGTCCCACTTGTCAGCTCATGAAATCATCACGACAGCGGCCAGCGGGACAGTTGCAGCCGATACCACCCCCAGAGCGTGCTTGGCAGCAGGTGACGATGGACTTCGTCACGGGGTTACCAGCCGGGGCGAGTGGGAAGGACGCGATCCTGGTCGTCGTCGATCGACTAACGAAAATGGCACATTTCGCAGCCTGCAAAAAATCGATCACAGCCGAAGAAACAGCACGCCTCTTCATCTCCACCGTCGTTCGACTGCACGGGATACCCGCCGCGATCATCAACGATCGCGACACAAAATTCACCAGCAACTTCTGGCGGAACCTGTGGCAGCAGTTCGGCACGCGACTGCAGTTCAGTTCATCATACCACCCCGAAACCGACGGACAGACAGAACGGACAAATCAGACCATGGAACAGCTCATCAGGGCCACGTGTGACGACCCGACCACGTGGGAACAGCAACTGCCACTAATCGAATTCGCGTACAACAACTCGCCATCCGCCACGACCCAACAGTCACCATTTTACCTAAACTACGGACAAGACCCAACAGTACCCATGACCCCGAATCCCGACAACCCAGTACCACGAGCACAACAGTTCGCCGAAATATTACAAGCAGCACGGACCCGGGCAGTAGACGCAATAAAAAAATCGAACATCATCGCTAAACGCAACGCCGACCGCCACCGCAGACCTGTCACTTACCAGCCCGACGACTTAGTTTTACTTGACACTCAGAACCTCCGACTGCCCATCACTCCGAAACTCCGCCCCCGATACTGCGGGCCATTTCGCATAAGCCACATGCTTACACCCGTCACCGCCCACCTCCTCCTCCCTGCTGACTGGTACGTCAGCCCCTCATTCCACGTCAGCCTACTTCGCCCTTACGTCCCGTCCACGAGCCAACTGCCACGCAATCGCCCAACCAGCATGACAAGACCACCAACTGAACCAATCATCACCCCCGAAAAAATCCTGAGTCACAGAGTTCGCGACCCTCGAGGAGCCCGAAGGATCGAGTTCTTACTCCACTGGAATGACCGTACACCCACCGAAGACAATTGGGTTCCCCTGGACAGAATCGAAAACCACCCCGTCCTCACCGAGTATCTGCGCAGCCGAAATTTCAGGGATGTACACGCACTCTCGTAAGGAGGACCTCCTTAAGGGGGGGGGTAGTGTAAGGAAAATTCCTTTTCCTTACTTCGCATCCCTGCTCAACGCGTACATCACTGTAGCACCACAATCAGCACCGTTACCACTCGCAACCCTCGCATCGACAATCTGCCCGCCACCTTCGCACATCGCACCCCGACCTCACGGCTCGGGAGGTAACCCGCGCTCCGGGCCTCCGCTTCGACACTTTTTCCCAACCTCAGTCCCAGGCCCGTCGCGCGACAACCACAGTCCATTACCGTTACCACTGTAGTTTCGCTATATATTCTTCGCTCATGCCTTCGCTCATTGTACTCTTGCTTCGATAGTGCAATTCTCGTTCGTTCACTCAATTGCACTCGTAACAGGGCTCAAACATTGAATAGAATCCACAAACAAAACAAGTTTAATAAACTATTTTTTATTACATATCATTTTTCCGTGCAAATAAGAGCGGTTCCAAAAGCAAGTGGTTGTAAAGGATGTCAACCCAAGCGTCTGGAACTCCAGGCAAACACCAATGCGTGCAATCCCCATCAAACGGGTTAAGCCCCATCGCTATAGGCGAAGAAGGCCCCTCTGCTGTCCTTGGCTCATACCAGACTCCCAAGTGCCCATCCGGCCTACTTTGACTCAGCCTCGTTATTTTCAATAGTCTTATGAAGGAGCCCTTGAGTGTAGCCCGCTGCATTGCATAAAACAGCTCCGCACTTCCAAAATTGTATCGATCAACCAGACCTGATCGCTTCATTGGTGTGAGGGCACCACATGAGCCAATCAAATGTGGCCCAGACTGGAGCCTTCCCAATTTCTGGAAGTCAGACCAGGTCCCGCCCCGATAAGCCTCTGTAACCCAAGGTTGTGGCATGCCATGACCGGTGTGCCTTGGGGAGAAAGAAAGGAACATAGGGACTCCTGGGAAGTTGGAGAGTCTGAGATGCCGGGTTATTGTTGCCAGGCCCCAGGAATAAGCTGCAAGGTTCGTGAGGTTTCGACGCTGCCCGCCTACCCGGAAAAAGTTTGGCTGGCTTCTGCCCGGGACGTTCTGGGACCACCAGACACCTGAAGAGAACACAACGACGTCGTACCATGGAAGAACGGAGGCGAGTGTTGGATCTATTCTATCCACGTTCACAATGTAGCCATGGCCACCGCCCCGGGATCTGTTTATGCTGGAGCGTTGTCTCGCGTGGACGAGGTACGGCGAGAAAAGGAATTCGAGGGAAAAGGAGAAGCGGGGGAAGCGGACAGCCTTGATGTTGAAGGGCCCCTTGGTCTTGCGTACAAACGGCTGAAGACAGACAATCGGGGATGGAGAGGTTGCTCACTTTGTGATTAATGGAGCAGCAGTACGGGAGAGGAGCTGCACAAATTGGAAGACACCAGTGTGGTCTAGTTACACACACCCTGGCTTTCATACAGTGTGATTAAGCAACGGAAATACACTGCAAAACGAGTAGCAGGAAAGCGACTGAACACAGCAGGAGTAGCACAGTAGGCTCCACCCTCCACCCTATATCCAACCCCACAATCTCGCAATCCCATGCAGGAACTGAAAAGCGCCATTCGCCATATCCATCCATCCAGCTTCAACCCTGCAATGCTACACCTCTAACAATCGGCAGAGAATGAGCCTTATCTCAAATTAACGATGCTCTCAGCCCCAATTCCTTACCTCCAGCATCCACTCCCCACTCTCCACCCCACCACCACCCTTCCCTGCTGCGCATGCTCACCTTGCCTTGGTATCCCGCAGCGTGGATGGCGCATAGCAGCGCCTCGAAGAGGTTCCCCATGATCGAATCGCCCACCAGCAGCATGCGCTGCGGTTGGGAGGAGGGGACGCAGAGAGGGAAGGAACACAATGGAGGAGAAGCAGAGAGGAGAGGAAGCAGGGAGACGGGAAGACAGAGAGGAAGTGACGCAGAGAGGAGGCAGCGGAGAGGAGGGAAGGGAAGGCAGAGATGAGGGGAAGCAGAAAGGAAGGAGCACGGGGAGGCAAGTCATGTTATTGCGTCGCGCAATGAGGGGACAAACTGGCATGCGAGGGCAATAGACATTGGTTAACAATACGTGATTGCTAGAGCATGGAGTGAGAAACACGGACTCGATGCATTCAACATCTCAAGAGGCGTCGGGTAAACTCGGCCGACAGAGAAAAGAACCACTCTCCACCTGTACGGTGTACCCAACTTCTAGGTCCAAGAATCCAGCTTACCAAAGACTAGATTAGCTTGTCAAAGACTAGCTCGACTTACCCGCTGTCGCATGAGGTACTTAAAGCCCGACCCGCTGAAGTAGCTCAGGCGGCATTTCTTGGCGTGCCAGCGGTAGCGCTGGTAGCGCGAGTCGGGGCGGTTGTTGCGCTCGCACGCGTACAGCGGGCGCACGTACGGGCAGTGCCCCTTCTCGCCTGCTCGCGCCGTGTAGCGCGGCACGCCTGTGCCCTTCGGAGCGCGCAGCCAGAAACCCACCGAGTAGTCGCACTTGCCTGCTCGTGTTGCAATTTCGTGGGAAGAGAAGCCATGGGGAAGAGAGAATTGGAGGAAAGAAAAGCGCGGAGGGAGGAATGGGGGAAGGAATTGGGTGAAGGGATGAATGGGAAAAGGAAACGGGGGGAAAGAGGGGGGAAAGCTTACGATCATGCGGGGCCGCTACCGCGGGTGTGGTCGGGGCGGGCTGGTCACGAGCGCGAAACGAGAAAGACTAGAAGAACGGCGGGGAGGGAGTACTCACGAGGCCAGGGCTTGGGCGCGAGGGGCGCCGCCAGAGGCGCGAGAGAGACTAGAAGAACGGCGAGGAGGACGAGTGGGAGGAGGGACGATAGAGGGCGACGTGTTGCGCGCCGGGTCTGGTGTGGCGGAAGGGCGCAATGCCAGGTTGCGTTGGGCGCGGAGCGGAGGAATCGGAGGGAAGAGCGGAGGAGGGGCGGGGGAAGGTGGAAGCTGCAATTGATTCTCGAGCGCGAGGGCTGACGGGGCGACCGATGATAAGTCGGCGAGACAGAGGAGTGGTGCTGGGAAGGGCGAGTGCGTTTTGTCGTTAGCAAGGGTGGCATGGCTACGCGTCGCGCTCGGCGCTCGGCGAGAGCCGAAGAAGGGGAGAAGAACCAAGGGGAAGCATTGACCAGGGAAGACGACCGGGGAGGGCATTGACCAGGAAAGGCGTGGGCCAAGTAGCTAGGAGCGTGAGATACGCGGACTACGTTCTTTGATAAGCTGTTCAGTGAAAGTTGCACCGAGACTAATGCCCTGCGACAGATGCTCGCATGCGAACGGGTTCATGCGGTGAAACGAGCGGGATAACACGAGGTACAGTCAGGCATAAACAGGTTTCGATGGTTTCTCAGGCTCTGGTTCTTGCTTCTTGTTGCACGAAATGTTGCATTTGAGGCGCGAAGGAGTTGCAAGGCGCGAATATATGCGCACGCTGACTGCTTGGACTAGACCAGGGTATCATGCTGGAGAACAAGCATGGTCATGGCGATGATAAAACGTTGTTGACTCTCGCGCCTATAACCTCCTAATCAGTCCGAAAGAGGTAATAGCACACGATGGGCAGGGACCGAGTCAGACTCAGCGTCCTTCTGGGGTAGTAATTTATTGTTAAAGCTTCCTCCCAGTGCAAGGATATGAGAGATCCAAGGTGATCGGGGTAATCGTGTGGCTGGATGGATGGTGGTGGTGTGTTTGTGGCGGTGACCAGGCCTGTCGAAGTTCCTGGGGCCCATACTTGGAGTCCCCAGCTCCTCCCTATCTGACCCTGTTTTGGCCGTAGCTGAGTGTTTTGGCGCCCTTAACGGTCACGGGCGCAGGCCAAAGTGAAAACTTGAAATCCGGGCTTGCACTTACACTATCTTAGCTAAGGGAAAGTTCGGCTGCTCCAAAGCTGACTTAGAGATATCACAAACACGGGATTGGCTAGAAACCGCTAAGGGAAAAATCCCCTTGGCACACTCTCGTGCAACCTAAGGAGAAAGGGGGGGGGAGTGGGGGGGTCAGGCAGAATTTCTTGGGGGGGGAGGGTCCTAGAACCGGAAATCAAGACTTTGTGGGTGGGGAAGGCCTGGTTGGAGCACTTAACGCATCCGGGGAAGGGTCGAACGAAGCACTTAGTGGCACGGGTGCAGGGCGATCCTAACACTTTATGCAGTCGAGCTGGAGCGAAAGTAGCCCGGAATGTTCAGGGCATTAAGGGCATATGCCCGTCAATCGACAGGCCTGGCGGTGACTCGGTGAGTGGAACTCCATGACGGTTGAACTGGCTCAAACTCGTAATTGTATCAATTGACATACTTGGCTTCATTGCTGTTCTGTTTCTCCCGCAGGTGGTAGATCTGCGAATGGGAAAAGATCATACCAGGGCCAAACAGTGCCAGTGGGGTGATCGACTAGGGGCCCAGAGGCCCGGAGCTTACGAAACCGCTGCGCAAGGAGAGATTGACAGAGGGTCCTCGTTTATTGCACGTAATTCTGTCACTAGTGGCATGTACTGGCTCGCATTTTCTCTCGCGTGTCGTTTAGCGAGCCGAATCTGCTGGGAACTATTAGGGCAGAAAAAAACCCATAGGGAACCTGGAATCAATTTTCGGGATGGATCAACCCTTAAAAAAAAAACCTTCCTGGTATTTAGGGTTTGATGCCTCCCGAGGCGCATCCATTTCCGAATGGGTAATATATTTTTTCCCCGTGCGTTTCCGATCGGGTAGGTGATATGTATCACCCATAATATATGTGACGTACTCACGATTTGACACGCCGAATTTTAAGTCCAGAACAAGGCGACGAGCGCGTTGTAGTAGACGGCGGTCAAACTCTCGTTAAAGAAAGTATACACAAAATTTAGTACTTGTTGGTGTTTCTCTTTTACTTACGGTTCGGCTTGTTCGCCTAGTCATTTTGGCAGCTCCGGGTTGAAAATCTACGGTCAAGATTCACCGGCCGTACTTTGATCACCTCTCTAGCACTGTTCGGCCTTAATATGATCATTTCCCTCTGCGAGTAGGTGGTACATTGGTTTGGAGTGGCAAATTTCGAAGCGCATCAAAGGACTGCACGGCGGCTCGATTCCAGGTGTCCTGGAGAACAAGTACCCGTAACTCGCTGGCTACGTGCAAGTGCTGTAGCCATGTCCTCGCGAATGTCGCTTGTTACATAATAGCTTACTGCATCAGCAGGTTTATTAATATATGTAATGAAGTAGCGTACATAATTATCTGCACATCAGAATCCAGAAGATCACAAGCTGCAAGTTCCAAGGCACCAAGATAGGTAAATGTCTGGTGAACTCGAAAGGTTGTTAATCATCGGCCCATCATATTTATTCTACATAAAATCCAACATGCACACCAGACTGCCAGCAAAAGGGCTACTACTGTGCCTGGTTCTGTTTCATTTCTTCCAGCATGCGGTGCTTGGTTGCTGCAATCTTGTGCTCCAACATGATTCTCTCCACCTGGAAGGAAGGTCAATGACGGAGGAAGATAACTCAGAATGAGTCATGTCATTCTGATCAAAACAGCCGAGACAGCAAACAGGGGATTAAGGGAAGGAAAAATCGCCGCCCTGGACTGGTAAGCGCCCGACCGTGGGACCTAGTTATTGGCCTGAAAGGGACTTCATACCGTAAGGAACAAACACTAGACTCCGTCATTCCTGTCTGCCCATCAACCGCAGCCATTCCACTACGGAAGGTTCGTCGCGACTCCCAGAAAACGACGCTCAAACGGATATTAGAGGCTCGGGTAAGTATTAAGAATCTTAGAACCATGCTTCTCTTGCAGTCACGCGTACCTTAGACTCGTGCCGCTCCGCCATCCATTTGAAAACGTAATCGCTGGACTGCACGGCGACGAACGTGGCGGTGCAGAGAGCGGCGAAAGTAAAGATCCGCATTGCCAATAGCCTAGACGTTTTTCGATAAGTTGCTGGTGCAGCACAAGGTAGAGAGAATAGGTGACACGAGATCGGGCCGCACCAGCAATGATCTCGTCTAGCTAGCTAGGGTCGTTGTAGGAGGGATTTCTGTACCAATACCAATTCAAAAGGTGTTCCCGTTGTACCCAATACCAATTTAGAGGCTTTCTGTGCGGTGTTGATGGTACTCGACATCCAACAAGGCTATAACGATAGGGGAAGCTGTCATTAGCGAGACAGGTTAGGGCAAAGCGAGATGTTCAGACGAAATGTTACGGTAACGTCGTTCTCCAAAACGGTGGGGCTGGGTGCGGTTAGTTTTAGGCTGGGGAACCACCTCCTCCAAAATGAATGATACGATTACAACTAGACTTGAACTCATCATAATTGCACGTTGGATGATTTTAAGCATCCGGAAAAACTTGTACTGGCCTCATTGCAGTTGAAAGAAGAGAGGAAAACCGTATAGACAAGGAAATCAGCGTATAAGATATTATCTGCAAATCTTCGCCACAGGATTTTGAACTGAGCAACTTTCAAATGAAGTACCGCATCCGAGGGTCCTGCTTCATTGCCTGATACACTGCTCGAACCTGCAGACAAGAGGACGCAGATATTAGTGAAAGCCCATCTTACTGTTACTACGGCCCATCTTGCAAGTAGGCATGCACCAAATTCACCACAGGTGCATGCATCTGCCCACCCCTCTCATCCCTTCAGCCCTTCAAATCTCACCTGTTCACTAGAGTCCATTCTAACAGGTCCAATCTTAACACTGATGTAACGACCCGTGGCACTCTCCCTGGTTACCACTTGAAGCTGAGGAGGAGAGAAACACATTGGGAGGGAGGGAGAGAGACGGTTGAGGCCATGGCAATTTGGAGTGCACGCACAAAAAAAAAAAAACAAAACATAAAGAAACAAAAAAAACAGAAAGAAAAAAAACAAAAAAGAACAACTGGCCGCTGACTCTAGCGGATTTCCAATCAATCAGGCAAATATCCATCATAGCCATGGACCATTTCCATGGTCCACTGGAAACACAAACATTTGCTGTATGCACCCCCAAGCAGCACATGTCAGTGAATCCCCTCTTCCCAATGATCCCCCAGCCTGCAAACCGCCTCCCCCCTCTTGCATTTTGTTCCAGATGTCTACCCCCCTTTTCAGCCCAACCCTCCCTAAAGTGATAGCAGATGTTGACACACGCCATGCCGCGACTCCTCTCCCCCTAAAACCGCACCCAACTCCCCTGGCTCTTCCACCTTACCTCGGGAACATCTTTGGGAAGGACGGACTGCACAGCCAGCACCATTGCCACGGCAAAGTCCTCTCCTCCCAACCCGATGGCTGTGAAGTCACGCAGACTGGGGTACGTGTTCACCTGCCGCCACCGTGCGGAGAGGGGAGTTGGCGAGGGAGAGAATGAGAAGTGGGTAGAGATTGCAGCGTCAGTCGACTCCTCGTCGCTCCTGTCAAACACAAATAAGGATCAGCCTTCCTCTCCAGGTTTCCAACTTCACACTTCCCTCACCCGTCCCCTGAACCATAGCAGGTGGCACAGGGCACAGGGCACAGGGCACGGGGCACAGGGCACAGGGCACGGGGCACAGGGCACAGGGCACGGGGCACGGGGCACGGAGCACGGAGCACGGGGCACGGGGCACGGCGCACACGGCGCACGGCACATGGCGCAGGGCACATGGCGCAGGGCACGGGGCACGGGGCACGGAGCGCAGGGCACGGGGCACGGGGCACGGAGCGCACCTTCTTGTCGAGCTCGAGCCAGTCGTCGCCATACTCTGTTGCCGTGCCGCCCATCACCACGTTCGTCGTGCGCGCCTGCCGCCCCGCCATTCGCGACACCTCTGCCGCGGAAGTCGTGCCAGGAGGGGGGAGGGGCGGGAAGAATGGGAGGGAGCGGTGGGAAGAGGGAGGGGAGGAACGGGAAGTGGGGGAGGGGGTGGGGGAGAGAAACGAAGAGGGGGGAGATTTGAGGGAAGGAAGGAGCCAGGGAGGAACTACAATTGAATCGAACTGAATGTGAGTGATCGGGGCTACAAGCGGCGCTCTCTTCCATTCGAGTAGCAGCAACCACTAGGCGTCCCTCCCCCAACCACACATCAGCGAATGCACTACTCGCGTCGCGCCGCACCCACCACTGACTGCTTTAAGGAGCACATCTTGCGGCGCGCTGTCCTCCAAACTCCCCTCCTCGCTCCCGCTCCCGCTCTCGCTCTCGCTCGCGCTACTGCTTCCAATGCTGCTGCCGCCGCTGGTCCCCCTAACGAGCTCCGCGCTGCTTTCGCTATCACTGCCGCTGCTGCCAGTGCTGTCGGAGCCGCTTCGACCTCTCCTTCTGCCCAGCCGAGAGCTGACCTCGTCCCGCCCATCCCCGCCAATGCTGCCCTCCGCGGACGCGCGGGTCACGAATCTCCGCACCTCACTGCGCCCTTCCGCTCCCCCCCACCCCGCTCCAACCCTCCTGCCGCACCGCGGAAGACTATCCTGCGCCAGCTGATGAACGGCCCAGATCGCTTCACTGTCTGATCGGGATTTCGAGCCCCATCGCGCACGGAGAGGCGTGAATGCCGGCGTATTTATCGATGAGATCTCGGATGATAGTAGAGCAGTGCGAGAGGAAGAGATGGAGGTGTGCGACGCGCGTGCGATGGAGCGAGCGATCGCGTGCGACGCGGATGGAATCGCGAGAAAGCACTCCATGAGGGGCACAAGGCGAGCCAGCGATGCGGCGATGGGGATAGGGTTGTGCGAAAGATGCGAAAGAAGCGAAGGAAATGGTGTTGGGGCGTTGCCTCAAACAGAGCTGTTTCGTTCCTCGCTTTCTAATCGCTTCTATAACTGACGAAGGGGAATATGTTGGGAGGCCGAAAATCGCGTCGACTCGACTATGGTAGCGAGGATTGCGGTGTGGTACACAGATACTAGATACCTGCCGTCCGGTCCGCGTCGGCCTATGGAAGTGATCAACGGTCGGGTTACCCTGAAAAAGCGGCGGCTTGAGCTGGCAGCTTTGGTGACAGTGATTCAACGTGCGGGCTTGGGACGGGGGACCGGGGGGCGGAAGACGACATGAGCGGGAAGAGGAGAGGGGGTGGGAAGGAATTGGTGTGCGGGAGGAAGGGGAGGGGAACGAAGAAGCGCGCCGAATGGCTGGCGCGAAATACAGAGCTCCAGTGGAACATTGCCCTGCCATTTCGTTCCGTTGATGGACTCGCTGACTGAGGAGCTGGCGTGACGTGGCGTGTGTAGGCCACGTATTGCTCAGTGATATGACCACGTGGTTTGGCCCCTAGAGAAAGCCGTATAACGGGCGGGGAATACACCAGAAATAAATATTTTCTGCGACTGCTCCGTTTGTGTGCTAAGTCGATTGAGAGCAAGAACACTGTCTGAACACTGTCTGTAAGACAGTTGCGCTACATCCAGCCCCAAGAAATGGACCCAGAATGCGCCAAGAATTGTACGTTATGCAAGAGCACTTGTAGGACAAACTTTTCCAGAATGATCTATGACGTGTATATGCATACTCGTTACAGCCTCCTTCCACTGTCATGTCACTCTCAACCGCGATCACCACCACCAGAGCAGTCATGCATGTTTGCTCACTCCAGAATCTCTCACTTCTTCGCAGGTCACAGACTGATGCATTGTGAGCGAGTACATAAGATGCGACTGCGGTTGCGGCACGGCTGACAACCTGTCACCTGTTCCGCAGCTAAAACTACACGCGTTTCCATTGGGCCATTAGGGTTTCGACGCTTGAACGACGAATCCGCGTGCCAGGCCTGTGCGACCAGCGCGATTCCGACCATGTGGCCCGGCAACGGCGGCAGATCAGCAGCGCCGGCGCCTGGCGGTGCCGCCACGTCAGCAGCATCCAGCGCAACCGCCACGTCAGCATCATCATCAGCAGCGGCGGCGGCTGCGGCGGCGGCGGAGGAGTCGATAGTGCCGACGCTGTGCTGCTGCATCTGCACGGAACTCTTCGAGCAACCCATGGTCGTCTCCTGCTGCGGTACGCCCTGCGCTGCTGCCCGTTGCCGTGTGACTTCGGGGGCGCCTCATAGGCCCTGCCTCATAGGCCCTGCGCTGTGCCTTTCTGCATCCCCCTTGGCCCGCCCCCTTGTATCTCTTACACGTCCCGTCACTTCTCTTCCCTCCACTTCCCCTCAGCTCCTCTCCGCTCTTCTCTTCTCTTCTCTTCTCTTCTCTTCTCTTCTCTTCTCTTCTCTTCTCTTCTCTTCTCGTCTCTCCTGCCGTGGCATGACTCACACGTGCGCAGGGAACTCGTTCTGCCAAAAGTGTCTCGACACCGCTCTGGCTCACTCCGACGCCTGCCCCATGTGTGAGTCAACGCGAGTCAAAGCGAGTCAATGCGAGTCAAAGCGAGTCAACGCGAGTCAACAATATCTATCCCCCTAGTGTGATATAGCACCACGACACGAGCACCTGTGCATTTCTCCAAGCTTCAAAGCACTCTGCCAACCCTCCTTTCCCAACACAGCCTGAGCACCATTGATTGGAACCATACCCCACATCTTCCATTCCAAAGCCTTGTGTCATCGTCTCTCCTCTCCTCTCCTCTCCTCTCCTCGCCTCTCCTCTCCTCTCCTCTCCTCTCCTCTCCTCTCCTCTCCTCTCCTCTCCTCTCCTCTCCTCGCCTCTCCTCTCCTCTCCTCTCCTCTCCTCTCCTCTCCTCTCCTCTCCTCTCCTCTCCTCGCCTCTCCTCGCCTCTCCTCTCCTCTCCTCTCCTCTCCTCTCCTCTCCTCTCCTCGCCTCTCCTCTCCTCTCCTCTCCTCTCCTCGCCTCTCCTCTCCTCTCCTCTCCTCTCCTCTCCTCTCCTCTCCTCTCCTCTCCTCGCCTCTCCTCGCCTCTCCTCTCCTCTCCTCTCCTCTCCTCTCCTCTCCTCTCCTCTCCTCTCCTCTCCTCTCCTCTCCTCTCCTCTCCTCGCCTCTCCTCGCCTCTCCTCTCCTCTCCTCTCCTCTCCTCTCCTCTCCTCTCCTCTCCTCTCCTCGCCTCTCCTCTCCTCTCCTCTCCTCGCCTCTCCTCTCCTCTCCTCTCCTCTCCTCTCCTCTCCTCTCCTCTCCTCTCCTCTCCTCGCCTCTCCTCTCCTCTCCTCTCCTCTCCTCTCCTCTCCTCGCCTCGCCTCGCCTCGCCTCTCCTCTCCTCGCCTCTCCTCGCCTCTCCTCTCCTCGCCTCTCCTCGCCTCGCCTCTCCTCGCCTCGCCTCGCCTCTCCTCTCCTCTCCTCTCCTCTCCTCGCCTCTCCTCTCCTCTCCTCTCCTCTCCTCTCCTCTCCTCTCCTCTCCTCGCCTCTCCTCTCCTCTCCTCTCCTCTCCTCTCCTCGCCTCTCCTCGCCTCTCCTCGCCTCTCCTCTCCTCTCCTCTCCTCTCCTCTCCTCTCCTCTCCTCTCCTCTCCTCTCCCTCCCAACCTCAACCTTCCCATCTCGTCTCGCCACCTCCCCTCTTCTGCACACAGGTCGGGCACCATTGATCGGGGGCATTGACCAGGTCTTCCCCAACCGAGCCCTGGCACAGCTTGTGGAGCAAGCAAGGTTACCTTTCCTCCCCCCTCCTCCACTCCCTTCTCACCCCTTTCCACCCCTTTCCTCCCATTTCCTTCTCCTGCACGTTCTCTCTGCTCTCGTCACATTCCCCGCTCCGTTTTCACTGTTTATTTCTGCTTTTGCTCCTTTCTCTTTTTTCTGCAGTTTCTCATTCCTCTTGCTTGCATTCGGCTCCCTTTCTCATTCCTCGCTTTTGCTTTCTATTTTCTTCCTGAGAATTCATTTTCTGTCCAACGCATTCCAATCCCGCACTTTGCCCCATGTTTTCTTCACGTTTAATGGCAGGATCATAGGAGTGACACGTCAGCAGCGGCTGGCCATGTCAGCAGTCGCTGCTGCGCTTCCTGCCAGCCATGTAGCAAACACGTCAGCACCCCAAGATTTCTCACAGGAACAAGCCCAAAGGGATACACATGCACAGGCACATGTGCAGGCACATGCACATGTACAGGCACAGGCACAGGCACATGTGCAGAGCAATGCCGGGACTCGAGTGAACGCCCATAGCCCCTCGCTCTCCCAGGCGAATCTAGCACGAGAGACATCCGCCCACACTCATGCTGTTGCTGCTGCTGCTGGCGGTGGTAATGCCATCAGCAGTGCCGGCAGCTTTACTGTCAGCAGTAGTAGTGGCAGCAGCACCAGCAGTAGCAATGACCACTACAGGAGCAGCTTACAAAGCAGCAGAGAAATAGGTCCGTTGACTTTCCAATCAACCCACTCTACCGTTGCAGGTGTCACTGCTAGCTCACCATCCCCATACCCTCACTCTCCCCAACCACCCTCTGCCTGTGCTCCTTCAGCAGAGGAGAGACAGGACCACACTGCCATTTCTATCCCTGATTACACCCCTTCTCACCTCACATCATCCACTCCTTTCTTACACCAAAGCTCACAGCCGAACATTCAACAGAGTATGGAGCAGATTCTAGCCCAGGGCCAAGCCAGTCAGCAGAGGCACGAGGATTTGGCGGGAGCAGAGAGGTCCGGGGTGGATTCGATTGTGCCGGACCTGGTGGTCCGGCTGAGTGGATCTGGTGCAGCGGCGGATAGGCAGAGCGCTCAGCAGCAGCCTGGGCATCAGCAGCAGCAGCAACTGCCAGAGAGATTAGCACAGGCCCCCCAGGTATTGAGTCAAGAGCAACGGCACCAGCAGCGGCAGCAACACAGGCAGCACCGACACCAGCAGCAGCAGCAGCAGCAACAACAACAACTACGGATACAGCAGCTGCAGCAGGGACGTTGCTGCTGCCCGTCGCCCTACGTGCTGGCAGTGCGTGGTCTGTTGGCCTGTGGCAGCAGTGGACGCCGCTTGCTGCTGCTGTGTGCGCGTGCGCGGCGCTGGTTCCTGGTGAACGAGCCGCGCATCCGCTTCTCGCTCTTCCTTGCCGTCTCCGCCCTCCTCGTCTTCTACCTGCGTGTGAGTGCTGAGAATGTGAAACTGTGCGTGCACACGGCGCTGGTTCCTGGTGAACGAGCCACACATCCGCTTCTCGCTCTTCCTTGCCGTCTCCGCCCTCCTCGTGTTTTACCTGCGTGTGGGTGGTTTGATTTGAGAGAGTAATCACTGTACATGTGACCCTCCTGCTCTTTCTTGCCCGTCTTGCTCTGCTTTGCTTTCCCTGCTCACCTTCTACCTGCGTGTGCATGCTTTGTTGCGTCTCTACCTTTGTTGTGCTCTTTGAGAAATTGCCTTGTGATTTGCTCCTTCTGTTCTTCCTCCGTGTGCGTGCTTTGAGTTGAGAGAGTGTGCAGTGCAGTGCACACTCTCTCGTTCCACATCCACATCACGTTCTGGCTCTGTTTCGTTCCTTGGTTTGGAAAATGTACAGCTCACGCTCCTTCTCTTCCCGACCCTTGTTGCTTCGCATGATGTGTGTGATATGTATGATGCGTGTGATGTGTATGATGCGTGTGATTCGTATGATGCACGCGCGATGCAGGTGCAAGAGGAGGAGTACGCAAGGGTGACCCGGTACCCCTGAAACAGATGAGCGTGAAGAGAAAACGAGTGTGGCATCAAGAAGGCGGTTTCGACCCACACCCGCTGATACTGGTGGTGATGCTTGGTATCTGGTGAATATATTAGTCTTTGGTGTGTACAACACAGCCATACAAACAAGCTCACAGTATGATGATAGTGGAGAAAGAGAGTGCAATACCGTGATACCGCACTAAACCCTGTCGCGGCATTGCTTGAAGATACTACCGTAGCATTTGTGTCTTCGCCTCGCCACCGACTTTCAAAGTGGATTCCCAAACAACCTAGCAAAAATTCCTTGTTGCCGGTGGTACTTGGCACATGTCTCCAGATATCATGGTGCAGGGAACCATTCCAAGCAGCCTTCCTTTGCTCATAGCAGTAAGATGTGTCACGAGAAGCACAGGGTAGGATGAGCAATCGAAGCACCATCAACACTATTAGGCGTAAGGTGAGGTCAGGAATCCAGATAGAATCAGATGGATTTACACAAAATTCACGAATCAGGCAGTTAGCTCTTTTTTCCAGAGGCGGTAAGTTTGCATCAGGTGGAGCTGGGGTGGGTGGGGGGGGCACCTAACTAACTTCAAAGTCAATGCTCCAGCCCATGTAACTACTAACCCCTCTGTCTCTTCTGCCCCAGCTAGAGAGTGTCGCAAGGTCAGAGAGAAACAAGGAGAGATAGAGAGTAGAGAGAAAGACAGGAGGGAATCATCTCAAAACTATGGATTCGTCCCCTCCATCCACTGCTTGTGCAATGGTTGCAGGACAGCACAGCTTGCTGGTCCCATCCCTTGTTGGTGCCTGTGCCAAAGTGACGCAGGTACCTGCACTGCCTGCATTTTCATGGTATGTGTGACACGCTGACACTGCCTGCACTGCACTGCACTGCACGACACACCACGAGTGTCCAAGATGTGATATTGGTTTACTAAGGCCCAGTAGGCAGGGCAGGAGGGCACTGCCCTTTGGAGGAGGAAAGACAGAACTCTGCTCTCCCATGCAGACCCCTCCCTCTCACAAAGACCCTGCTCCCCTCCCCAGACGTGCACTGCTCTCCTCCCGACTCCCCTTCACCTCTGTAATGTCTCCATCCCATCCTTCCCACCGCATCCCATCCCTCCCAGCCCTCCCAGACCATGCATACTGGGAATCAAGCCAGACAGATAGCAGTCGATCTCCTCAGCTGCTATCCCATCTGCTCAGCTGCTATCCCATCTGCTCAGCTGCTATCCCATCTGCTCAGCTGCTATCCCCCCTGCTCAGCTGCTAGCCCGTCTCCGAAACACTATGTACTCTGCTCCTATGCCCTCCTTCACCTCTTGATATGCCGGCGGGGACTGCGCCCCGTAAAACGCCGCAACCAGCGGCCGTGCCACAGACGCGGAGGAGGACGGGGAGGCGTCGGCAGGGAGCGTGAGAGCGAGGATTTCTGGGCGAGAGTCAAAGGCAACGAGGCGGGGGCCGGCGAGTAGCCACATGGAGTCGTGGGGAGCGTGCAGGTTGAGTAGCACTCGCGCATTGCCTTCCATGTTGATCCGGACCAGGTCGAAGCGGCGTAGGCCGAGGAATTGGAGCAGGAAGGAGCCGGACAGGCCGGTTACTGCTGCTGCTGAGGATGCGTTGAGGAGTGAACCCGCCTGGGAGAGTGGGGAAGAGGGTGGAGAGGGGTGGATAGGGGTGGGAAGCGGTGAGAATGGAACGGGGAGGGAGCCTGACAGGCCGGTCACTGCTGCTGCTGAGGACGCGTTGAGGAGTGAACCCGCGTGGGAGGGTGAGGAGTGGGGGAGAGGAGATGGGTGGGAAGGGGTGAGGATGGAATGGGGAGAAGGAGCCTGATAGGCCAGTTACTGCTGCCGCTGAGGACGCGTTGAGGAGTGAACCCGCCTGGGTGGGTGGGGGTGGTGGTGAGGGGTTGGGGAGGGGTGGGGAAGTGAGGAAGAGAGGGCGGATGGGTGGGGAGGGGTGAAGATGTGCATGGGAGGAGGGAGCTGGACTGGGTGGTGACTGCTGCAGGGAAAGGCGGGTTAAGGAGCATACTAGCCTGGCTTGTTTTATATGTGTTTGGTTTGGGATGGGAAACGGGGCATGGGGAGAGGGGTGGAAAAGGGTGGGGAGGGATGTAAAAGGCATAGAAGAAAACGGCACGATTCGTATCTGCCTTGGTGCACAGTAGTAGCACAAACCTACCACTGGCATCATTTTTGAGACGTCTCAAAAGTCATCATTTTTGAGACGTCTCAACAGAAGTAGCACAAGCCTACCACTGGCATCACCATGCGTGCAGCATCCTCACCACCACCCACCACTTGAGAGCAACCGCACCTCAACCGCACACCACCCCTTATCCATCCGTCAGCACCCACCCGCGCCCACAAGGAGCACTCACAGCGTTCTGTTCCACTTCAATGAATCTCGCCCGGCCCCCATCCACCTGCGGCACAAGGCTCGCTCGTCACGTGCGACCACAGCGCTGCTCTGAGTGCGATAGCAGTAACCCAAACCCTTTCATAACCCAACCTTGCAACCCTGCCAACCCTCACCCTTCCCCTGCCCCCACTAAAAGCCTTCTGTTCCACTTCAATCGGCCCCCATCAGCCTGCAGCACCAGGCTCGTCACGTGCGACCACAGCGCTGCTCTAAGCACAACAGCGTACCCCCCACCCCTGCCTCTCACTCACAGCGTTCTGTTCCACTTCAATGAATCTCGCCCGTCCCCCCTCCACCTGCAGGACGAGGCTCGCTCATCACATGCGACCACAGCGCTGCTCTAAGCACAACGGCATACCCCTTCAAACCTTAACCTCCCAGTCCTAGGGTTTTCACCCTTCCCCACTCCCCGCACTCACAGCGTTCTGTTCCACTTCAATGAATCTCGCCCGTCCCCCATCCGCCTGCAGCACCAGGCTGGTCACATGCGACCACAGAGCTGCTCTGAGCGCAATGGCATTGTCGTAGGGCGCGGTGTTGAGGGAGAGAGCGCGGAACCCGGACTCTGACGCCTCAGTGGTTACCAGGACTGCGGTGGGGTACCTGGTTAGCCAGGGAGAAGGCAGCGGAAAATGGCGGGGCGGTATGAGGTGGGGGGAGTATAGAGCACTGCTCTGAGTGCAATGGCGTTGCTGTACGGAGCGGTGTTGAGGGAGAGAGCGCGGAACCCGGACTCTGACGCCTCTGTGGTTACCAGCACTGCGGTGGGGTACCTGGTTAGCCAGGGAGAAGGGGTTGGAAGAGGTGCAGGCGGATTAACGTGCAGCTAGAGCATGATAGCTTTGTTGCAAGGAATGAGGTGGAGGGAGAAGGCACGGAACCAGGACACAGATGCTTCTGTGGTTACCAGCAGTGATGCGGGGTACCTGGTGAGAAGGAGGGAAAAAGGGGGAGGAGAGGTGCAGGGGAGTTAAAGTGCTGCCCTGAGCGCGCTGGCGTTGTCGTAAGGAGTGAGGAGGAGGGAGAGAGGTTTAGGGTACGGAACCCGGACTTTGATGCCTGTGTGGTTACCACCACTGCTGTAGGGAATCTGGAGAGCCGAGTGGTAGGCGGAGGGGGGTGGGGGCAGGAGGGATGTCGAGGGGAAGAGAGAGGTCAGGAGGGGAAGGGACAGGAGGGGAAGAATGGTCAGGGTGTGGTGTTGGAATGAGGATTTGGTGAGAGTGGAGGAGAAGAGCGGGAGGAACGAGAGGGGTGAGAGATTTGACTGGCGCTGGGTCCATTCTGGGAGGGGGAAAAGAGGAGCAATGGCGACAGCCAGCGGGCATGTGAACGCATTCTCTCGCTGGCAAGGCTGTCTTTGAAACTTACATGCACGCGAGGAGCACAGAGAGAATGCCCGCACCGGCCCCGGCATCCAGCACAGTGCGCACCCCCAAATCCGGCTGTAGCACCGGCAGGGGGTCCCCATTGCACAGCCGGTGCAACCGGTGTGGTACTATCTGTGAATGCCAGTACTATCGGTACTTACATGCACGCGAGGAGCACAGAGAGAATGCCCGCACCGGCCCCGGCATCCAGCACAGTGCGCACCCCCAGATCCGGCTGTAGCACCGGCAGGGGGTCTCCGTCGTACAGCCGGTGCAGCGTGGCTAGATCTGAGAGAGAGAAAGAGAGAAGCACGGGGGAAGGGAGAGTTTCAGGATGACTCGAGCAGTACAGACGGTGCGCACCCCCAGATCCGATCCGGCTGTAGCACCGGCAGGGGGTCTCTATTGTGTAGAGCCAGTGCAGCGTGGGTAGATCTGCCGCCGTGGGGAAGAGACAGGGGGGGGCGAGAGCACGGCGCGGGGGCGAGGAGAGGAGGATGATGGGGGCAGAAGGAAAGGGTTGTGGGAGGGGGTTTCCGTCACACAGCCGGTGCAGTGTGGCTAGATTTGCTTGGGTAATGTGCGTGACCAAGCTACAAAAAATACTACAAAAAAAGTTGAGGGCTAGAAGGGAGAGGGGAGGCGGGGAGGAGGATGGTGGAGGACAGAGGTGGGCAGAGGAGCAGGAGGAGTAGTATGAGGGTTTGTCAGGGGAGCAGGAGCAGAGTCAACACCTTTAACGCCACATTCACTCCCAGAATCGCACCTGCCATTCACGTTTGACAACTCTCTAAAGCGACACAAGCAATGCACTTCATGACCACAGTCCCCTCTCGCACTCCCAGTCCTTCACCCACTCCGAATCCCTCCCTTCCCCTCCCCCCTCCCTGACATCCCCCTCCCTGACTCCCCCCTCCCCATTTCCCTCCATCTTGGCCGTCCCCCCCACCGTACCTGACTCTGGTCGCCCCAGACCATATTTGAGGTGCCCCAAAACTAATGCTCGTACCTGACTCTGATCGTCTCAGGTGGATGTTGAGACCTGTCTCAAGAATGGTGTGTGGGAAGCTGTTTCGGAAGCTGTTTGGGAAGCTGTGTGTGATTGCATGTGTGACGGTGCGTGGGATGGTATGTGGGAAGCTGTGTGTGATGGCATGCGGAATGGTATGTGTGATGGCAGTGCACGTACCTGACTCGGATCGTCTCAGGTGGAAGGCATGGATGCACGGCCGGCCCTTGGAGCACTGAAGAGCCTCCCGGTATGAACATGCCATCACACACACCAGCGCCTCTCCGCCTCCCCTGTTCCCCCCCCCTTCCCCGCCTCCCCCGCCAGCTCCGCCATCCCCCCCCTCCGCCCCAGGCCCTTCTCTGCCCCCCTCCCACCCCCGCTCCCACTCCCCTCCCCACTCTCTCTCCTTCTCCCTCAACCCCCTCCGCCTCTGCTCCTCCCCTCTACTCTCCTCCCGCCCTTCCACTCCTCTCCCCCGCGCCCCCCTGCTCCCCTCCTCCGCTTCCCCCCCGCCCCCCTCCCGCAACACCTCGTATCTTAGAAACTCCCACGTCATCCACACGCCCGCATAGAAATACCGAGCTTCCCCCGCTCCGCAGCTGTGCGGGCGCGCCAGCGCCGCGCGCACCTCCGCCTCCGCGTACTGGCATACGCGCGCGGGGCCCCTGTGCCCCATGCGCTCCACCCACGCTCTCCGCGGGGGGGCGCTGCGGCGCGCGGGCTGGGAGAAGGTGGACACGAGGGGGTACACCTGCGGGGGAAAAGGGGAAGGCAGGGGCGGAACGGGGGGAAAATGGGTGTGGGCAGGGGGGATGGGGTGGGAGGGAGGAGGGGCGACCAATGTGGCCAATCATCGCGTGCTGAAACTCCAGATACGTTGCTTCAACTGGGATTTTTGAACGAAGCAACAGATCTGCTTCGTACTGACGATCGGGACCAATGCACCCAGGCACATCCCAGTCAGATAAGCAGCCTGATAGGCAGCCTGATAAGCAGTCTGATAAGCAGTCTGAAACATCCAACCACCCAAATCCCTTCAACCTGTACCCTGGCAACCCGACGTGGAACGTACGGCTGCGATGTGATCTTCGTACAGCGTCGCCACTCTCTGCTGCTCGCGCACGTGCGCCTCGATCATCCGCCGCACCGTGCTGTCCTGGCTGACGTCACGAATCCACGTCACGAAGCTGCACCCCAGGAAAACGGCTACTAACGCGGACGCCGCCACCACTCCGACGCTGCAGCGCGGCGATCGCGCGGGATCTCGAGTCATCATGGCTCTGCCTTGCTCCTGACGAAACGAACTACAAAATTAACACAACGATTCTTTCGAGTTTAGGTTGCCTTGATTGACGGTCGGACGGACTGCGATGGACGGATGGACGGATGGATGGACGGACGGATGAAAGGACGACGCGGGAATTACTCCGATTGGATGGCAATCATGCGTCACAAGCACACCGCGAATCGCATTTGGTCGAATTCGCGCTTTATAACTCGCGTTTGACGCTCATTTGTCATTGGGGAACCGTAATCGGAATCGCGAGCACAGAATATCCTGCTGACGTGGCAAAACAGGAAGCCTCTCCTAAAGCACCAGGCGGACAGGATAATAACCCAGCGAGTGTTTAGACTCAACAGCTCGCTGGCTGAAAATTACGGCATTGAGAGGATCGTTTCAAGTGCCTGGGATATGATTCCACTGAAAGTTATCGTACTAAGCCGAGCGGGTCTCATCGCAGTATTCGCGAAACTTCAGTGGAGCGAAGGACTAGAGCCATTTCGAAGCACCTAATGGATCCGGTCCGTCCGTTGGCTCAGACGGATCGACCCGAAACTGCTAATGACAAAGCTCAGGATCACGATGAATAGGGAGGCTTATAGCAGAGAGTGCGACTAGCCATGGCGAACGTTGACAGAAACGTCAAACTTCGCTTTTGTGCTAGCGTTCCCTTGCTGTGCCCTGTGGATGCCTGGCTATCCGTTACCTCGTTGCGCCATCCATTTCCCGCTAAACACATGCCAGATGCGCTCGCTTTGTAACGGTTCGGTGCTCTCTGTTACGATTCAAAACATTTTGATAGGTTTTTGGTGGTAAACAGCCTCATTCCCTGCATCAGAATGCCCAGTACCCAGGGGGATCTCGGCCCGTACCCATGTCCTACAGATCTGTGAGTTCCTCGCTGCACTTCATGTCCTGCGGGGAATTTCTGAAAAACGTGTCCAAATACCCCGACGAGACACCACACATTATTAAACCGCTTCTCTAAGTTTTGCGTTCGAATGAAAACAGAAGCAGCACCGCTCATTCTGCAACATGGGGTTCATACAACCACTGCTTCCTGAGATTCCCTGGATCTTGAACAGATACTGGTCAGTTCTCTGGTGGGAGAATAATCCTGCTGAATTTCAGCAAGATTAAAAAAGCACTCCTGAGACGTGGATTCCACACCCTGCGGCTCGTAAGCGACAGATCGATGAATGGCTTCGAGGGCGCCTGTTCAACCGAATACTTGACAAAACTTGCATTTTCACCCAACAAACCACTACACCATCAAAGTACCTCGGAATTTTCCTATCAAAGTTACCCTTTCCTGATTCCCTCGTCTGTCAGAGATCTGGTTACCTAGACCCATTCTACCTCGAGTTCACCGCGAAGCACTGGGAGCATACCGCACTGGCCATGTCCTAGAATCTCCTCTTGGCTAGTCTCCTCCCCAGAGGCAGCCTCGCTTCCACAACCTAGTTTATTTCGAGCCAGCGTCAGTGAGCCAAGCAACCGTAACGCTGTTGGGCAGCGTCACGCGCTTGCCTTACGGACGGACGGGGCTCTAGGATTTGTGCACGATTCGTTTCCATTGTGCCCGCTTCGTCACTTGAAAGCCTGTAAGAGCATGGTAATGGCAACATGACATTCGCAAGCCATGGCTTCCTTAAGTCGTGCGGGTAACAGGCCGTGTTCAAATAGTCCCGATCCATCGGATTCGTATTCTAGCTTCTGTGGCTGCTCAGGCCGCTACTAACTATTTCCGTGACGCGCTGCCGACACGTAGCTAAATCTCGTGTCGACTTGAACATCAAATGCACTCCTGCCTGCGCTCCCTCTTCCACATCCCACTTACATATTCACCAGATGAATCTCCCCGTTACTAGCGCTCGTGGACTAGCCCTCCGCTGCGTACGGCAATAGCTGTGCTGCTATACGATGTGATAGAAATGAGCGGCGGGAGCGTCGGAAGCCAGGCGCTGCGTCGAATCGGCAGCGGCACGAGCTTCCCGAGCCATGGCGTCGCGTCGGGAGCATCCTCCACCGCCGTCGCCGCGTCGTCTTCCGCGATTTCCGGATTCCCGTCCGCTCCCTCGCTTACTCCCCCCTCGATCTCCTCGCGCTCCGCCGTCTACTTCCCCCCGCACCGCACGCAGCTCCCCCCGCGCTACGCCTACGCATCGTCCGCATCCGCCGCGTCCGGCCGGCCGCGCAAGGCCCGCGCGATTCTCTGCTTCATCCTCCTCGCGACCACCTTCGTCCTCCTCTTCTCCTCCGCGCTTTACGCGCCGTTCGCGCTTTCCCTCTCCTCCTCCCCATCCTCCTCGTCCGCTCTGTCTGTCTCCAGCGGTCGCGCCTTGGGAACTATTTCCCGCTCCTACTCCATAATAATCGACGCGGGAAGCACCGGGTCGCGCGTCCACGTGTACTCGTACACGCGGCTCGCGGACCCGTCGGCGCTTCCGCTGGTCGACCCGCACGCGCCGACTCTTAAGATCCGCCCGGGACTCTCGTCGTTCGCCGCGGACCCGGCCGCAGCGGGCGGGTCGCTTGTGGGACTTATGGACTTCGCGAAAACCAAGGTAAGGACGTCTTTAATCGCCTCGGAGTGCCAGAAACCGGAGCATCTTATAGGTTCTGCGAGGCGCGAGATTTCCATCCTTTTCATCCTAGAAGTGATAATGATGGGAAGGGGTGAATGAATACGTCGCGAACGCGTTAGGTCCTGCCAGCCTCGCTTCTCGTTTGCCCCTCTCCTTCCGCTGTCATGCTCTCCGGCTCCCGACTACTTCACTATTTCACCCGCCACTCTTCCACCTTCCTTCGGTCGTCCCCGCCCGCCCCCAGGTCCCCCGCGCGCTGTGGTCCGCCACGCCCGTGCGCCTGATGGCGACGGCGGGGCTGCGCCGCCTGCCCGCGAGCGGCGCGCGCAGGATACTGCAGTCGTGCGCGGAGGTGCTGGGGGCGTCGGGATTCGCGTTCGACCCGGAGGATGGCGCTACTGTCATTGCAGGTGGGGGAGGGGTTGGCGAGGGTTTGGCAGGGAGGAGGGGGGAGAGAGAGGGGAGGAGGGGGAGTGGAGAGGTGAGGATGTAAAGGGAAACGGGGAAAAGGGAAAATGGGAGGACGAAGAGGGGAAGTGGAGCATTGGGGGTATGGGGGATGGGGGAGAACGAGGGAGAGAAACGGGGAGAGGATGTGAGGATACTGCAGTCGTGCGCGGAGGTGCTGGGGGCGTCGGGATTCGCGTTCGACCCGGAGGATGGCGCTACTGTCATTGCAGGTGGGGGAGTGGGGGGGGGAAGGGAAGGGGGGGAGAAAGGGTTTGATTTTAGGCACCTCAGAAACCGGAGGTGCTGGGGGCGTCGGGATTCGCGGTCGGTTCAAACCAGAGGATGGCGCTACCGTCATTGCAGGTGGGGGAGGGAGGAGTTAAGGATCGATAGTTTAGACGCCTTAGGAACCAGAGGTGGTGGATTCGCCACGGGAGGGGCCGAGATTCGCATTGGACTTAGATGGTGGCGGTATTGTCATTGGAGGTGAGGGAGGGGGAAGAGGGGAAAGGGGGATGGGAAATGTGGGGGGGAAGGGGAAAGGGGGAGGGTAGAGGGGGATTGAAAAAGGGGAGGAGGGGGAAGGGGAGAAGGAAGAGGGAAAGGAAAGGGGGAAGAAAAGGGGGAGGGGAAGAAAAAGGGGAGGGGAAAGGGGGGAAAGCGGGGAACAGGGGAAGGGGGGGAGGGGGGGAAGAATATGAAGCAGTAAGATTGGGGGAAAGGAAATCGAGGATTGCGTTTTGGAGTAGGAATGGAAATTTGGGTGGATTATATCTATCAGTGCGAAAGGGAACCTGAGGGACGGACGGGGGACGGGGGACGGGGGGAGAGGGGAGAGGAGACAGAGGCTGGGGTGCTTGGAGCCTTGTGATTGCGTGAGATGAATTATTGCATGGCAAAGTCGTGAGCTAGGGGCACAACGGGTGTGGTGGGGTGATGGGGGATAGGATGCCTGGGGAAAGGCGGAATGGGAGGATGGAAAGGTGGTCTGGAGGGAAAGGAGGGCGGGCGGGCGCGTACGCATGAGCGCAAAGTAACTACCCCTATGGCACTGCCCCCCACACCGCCCCTTTGCACTGCCCTCACTTACCCACCCACAACGTATGCACCCTTCCGCCCTTTCTTTCTCCCTCCTTGCAGGCGTGTGGGAGGGCGTGTACGCGTGCGTGGCGGCGAACTATGCCAAGGGAACTCTGTCCCACAGCTCCCCACACCTATTCACCCTGCCCCCCACCCCCCCCTCCGCAGGCGTGTGGGAGGGTGTGTACGCGTGGGTGGCGGCGAACTATGCTAAGGGCACCCTGGGAGGCGATGCGCGGGACTCCGTGGGGGTCGTGGAGATGGGGGGGGCGTCCGCACAGGTGAGGGGGGGAGGGGGAAAGGGGGGGGAGGGCAAGGAAGGGGTAAGGGAGGAATGAGAGGGGTGGGAAGGGCGGAGAGGGAAAGGGGGTGAAGGGGCAAGAGGAGAAGTGGTCCGCATCTGCACAGGTGACAGGGTTGGGGCGAAATGGAGAGGGGAAAGGGGGGGTGGGGGGAAGGGCGGGGAGGGGGGGAAAAGGGAAAGGGGAGATGTGGGGCGACAGGGGTATGGTGGAGAGGAAGAGAGGGAGGAGGGAAGAGAGCTAGGAAGATGAAGAAGCAGTGAGAAAGGGGTGATTGGGCTTTGGCGGTACAACTCCCCCTCCCAGTGCCGTTCTCTTGCTCCACTCACTGCCCCCTCGCCTCTCTCTCCCTCTGTTTGGAATGACCGCAAGGCGCTTGAGTTGAGGCAAGGCGCTTGAGTTGAGGTAAGGCGCTTGAGTTGAGGTAAGGCTCTTGAGTTGAGGAAAGGCGCTTGAGTTGAGGCAAGGCGCTTGAGTTGAGGTAAGGTGCTTGAGTTGAGGCAAGGCGCTTGAGTTGAGGCAAGGCGCTTGAGTTGAGGCAAGGCGCTTGAGTTGAGGCAAGGCGCTTGAGTTGAGGCAAGGCGCTTGAGTTGAGGCAAGGCGCTTGAGTTGAGGCAAGGCGCTTGAGTTGAGGCAAGGCGCTTGAGTTGAGGCAAGGCGCTTGAGTTGAGGCAAGGCGCTTGAGTTGAGGCAAGGCGCTTGAGTTGAGGCAAGGCGCTTGAGTTGAGGCAAGGCGCTTGAGTTGAGGCAAGGCGCTTGAGTTGAGGCAAGGCGCTTGAGTTGAGGCAAGGCGCTTGAGTTGAGGCAAGGCGCTTGAGTTGAGGCAAGGCGCTTGAGTTGAGGCAAGGCGCTTGAGTTGAGGAAAGGCGCTTGAGTTGAGGCAAGGCGCTTGAGTTGCGGCAAGGCGCTTGAGTTGAGGTAAGGCGCTTGAGTTGCGGCAAGGCGCTTGAGTTGAGGCAAGGCGCTTGAGTTGAGGCAAGGCGCTTGAGTTGAGGCAAGGCGCTTGAGTTGAGGCAAGGCGCTTGAGTTGAGGCAAGGCGCTTGAGTTGAGGCAAGGCGCTTGAGTTGAGGCAAGGCGCTTGAGTTGAGGCAAGGCGCTTGAGTTGAGGCAAGGCGCTTGAGTTGAGGCAAGGCGCTTGAGTTGAGGCAAGACGCTTGAGTTGAGGCAAGGCGCTTGAGTTGAGGCAAGGCGCTTGAGTTGAGGCAAGGCGCTTGAGTTGAGGCAAGGCGCTTGAGTTGAGGCAAGGCGCTTGAGTTGAGGCAAGGCGCTTGAGTTGAGGTAAGGCGCTTGAGTTGAGGCAAGGCGCTTGAGTTGAGGCAAGGCGCTTGAGTTGAGGCAAGGCGCTTGAGTTGAGGCAAGGCGCTTGAGTTGAGGCAAGGCGCTTGAGTTGAGGCAAGGCGCTTGAGTTGAGGCAAGGCGCTTGAGTTGAGGCAAGGCGCTTGAGTTGAGGCAAGGCGCTTGAGTTGAGGCAAGGCGCTTGAGTTGAGGCAAGGCGCTTGAGTTGAGGCAAGGCGCTTGAGTTGAGGCAAGGCGCTTGAGTTGAGGCAAGGCGCTTGAGTTGAGGTAAGGCGCTTGAGTTGAGGCAAGGCGCTTGAGTTGCGGCAAGGCGCTTGAGTTGAGGTAAGGCGCTTGAGTTGCGGCAAGGCGCTTGAGTTGAGGCAAGGCGCTTGAGTTGAGGCAAGGCGCTTGAGCTGAGGCAAGGCGCTTGAGTTGAGGCAAGGCGCTTGAGTTGAGGCAAGGCGCTCAAAATTCCCCTCACTTCCCCCACTGCCCCCGCCCTCTCCCTCCCCCTCCCCCACCCCCATGTCCCCCCCAGGTCACATTCGTGCCAGATGAGCCTCTCCCAGATGAGTACCGGCACGACTCTTGAGACGTCTCAACACCACCCCCCCCCCCCCCCCCCCACACACATCCCATTCACTCCCCCCAGGTCACATTCGTGCCAGATGAGCCTCCCCCAGATGAGTACCGGCACGACATTTCCTTGGCCGGTGTGGACTATGTGCTCTACTCCCACAGCTTCCTGCACTACGGACAGGTGCGCGTGTGGGGAATGGTGGTGGCAGTCAAGTCAGGTAGGGTGGCTGGCTGGCTGTAGTGCTAGCAGGTGCGAGTTCGTGCTCCCTCCTTGCTCGCCTTGGCGGGTGTGGACTATGTGCTCTACTCCCACAGCTTCCTGCACTACGGCCAGGTGTGCGGGAGGGGTGGTGGGTGGGTGGGAGAGCGATAGGGGGACGGGAAGAGTGAAGCACTGTGGCTCGCCCTGGCTGGCGTGCACAGTGGCTCCCTCACAGGTCGCCCTGGCTGGTGTGGGCTACGTGCTCTACTCCCACAGCTTCCTGCACTACGGCCAGGTGCGCGGGAGGTGGTTCAAGTCAGGTAGGGTGGGTGGGTGGACCGGTTGGTTGCTGGACTGTAGTACTAACAGGTGTGCATGGGATGGTGGGTGCATGGGTGGGTGGGAGTGGGAGAGAGATGGAGCAGAGGGATGAGTGAAGCAATACAGATGCATTGTAGTGGCCGCATTGTACATTCGACTCAAGAATCAGCTCCCTCTTCCCTCACCTTCCCTCACCCCTCGCTCTCTCCATCCCGTTCCTGCCCTCGTCCCTCTCCCTCAACGCGAGTGCAGGAGGCAGCAGAGGAGGCAGCAGAAACGCTTGTGGCTCTTGTGTCTGCACAGCGGCAGCAGGCAGAGCACGCAGAGCAGAGACAGCAGCAGCGGGAGCAGCTTCAGCTGGGGCAGCAGCAGCAGCAGCAGCATGCAAACACGTCGCTGCCTACCGAACTGGTGGTGAAGGGACACGGGCAAGTGCAAGGAAACAACACAGGGGCTGGAAAAGGGGAAAGCAGAGGCGATGGGAAAGCAGGAGTGGGAGTGGTCGGGGGAAGAGAGCAGCAAGGAAATGCGGCTGATGGCAAGGCTGTGGCGGTATCAGAGCCAGGTGGTTCAGCTGTTACAGCTGCTGCCGCTGGTTCTGGTGGTGCAGGTGCAGCAGCAGCAGCAGCAGCAGGTGCAGCAGCAGAGGCGGTACGCAGACTGGGATTGGAGAAGCAGTTATGGCATGGCAACCCGTGCAGACACCACCTGTTGCCGTTCCTCCTTACCGAACCTCCCACCTCCACCCCCTCCTCAAAACCCTCCTCTGTAGCACCAGCAGTAGGAACGGGAGCTACAGCAGCAGAAGCTGCGGCAGCAGATGCAGCAGCAGCAGCAGCAGCAGCAGGGGCAGTAGCAGCTGCAGGAAAGGAGTTGGCACTCTCTTCTCCACGTCTGCCCTTGCAACAACAGCAACAGCTGCAGCAGCAGCTGGGGCACCAGCTGGGGCACCAGCTGAGGCACCATCGCTCTGCTAACTTCTCCCTCTGCAGGCACCTGGCCACTCGCCTCTTCACTCATGGCCGCCCAGGTGAATCCGTTCTCAGGTGAATCCGTTCTCAGGTGAATCCGTTCTCAGGTGAATCCGTTCTCAGGTGAATCCGTTCTCAGGTGAATCCGTTCTCAGGTGAATCCGTTCTCAGGTGAATCCGTTCTCAGGTGAATCCGTTCTCAGGTGGATCCGTTCTCAGGTGAATCCGTTCTCAGGTGAATCCGTTCTCAGGTGAATCCGTTCTCAGGTGAATCCTTTCTCAGGTGAATCCTTTCTCAGGTGAATCCGTTCTCAGGTGAATCCGTTCTCAGGTGAATCTGTTCTCAGGTGAATCCGTTCTCAGGTGAATCCGTTCTCAGGTGAATCTGTTCTCAGGTGAATCCGTTCTCAGGTGAATCCGTTCTCAGGTGAATCCATTCTCAGGTGAATCCCTTCTCAGGTGAATCCGTTCTCAGGTGAATCCGTTCTCAGGTGAATCCGTTCTCAGGTGAATCCCTTCTCATGGGAATCCCTTCTCAGGTGAATCTCTTCTCAGGTGAATTTCTTCTCGGGTGAATCCCTCCTCAGGTGAATTTCTACTCAGGTGAATCCCTCCTCAGGTGAATTCCTCCTCAGGTGAATCCCTTCTCAGGTGAATCCCTTCTCAGGTGAATCCCTTTTCAAATCAATCCCATTCCACATAAGTCCTTTCTCAAGCAAATCCTTCAACCTTCCCTTCTTCTTACTAGCTTTGCCACTCTCCCATCTCACGCCTCCTCCCCTCTCCCCATCTCTCCGACCTCCTCTCAACCCTCCACCCTCCCTTATCGTCCCTCTCCCCCCCCTTCCCCCTTTTTTTCATCTCACCTTGCCCTCCCCCACCCCCTCCCCTTCCCCTCCCCCTCCCCCTCCCCCTCCCCCTCGCCCTTCTCACCCTTCCCCACCCCCTCGCCCCTCCCCTCTCTCACCCCTCCCCCTCCCCCTCGCCCCTCCTGCCTCTCACCCTTCCCCTCCCACCACCCACAGACAGTCAGCACACTCCCCCTGCGCCCTGCCCCTACACGCGGTGCCCCTTTGCGGGCGGGGTGTTTGTACCAGAGCTGCGAGGGCAGTTCTTTGCCACCGAAAACTTCTTTTACACCTCTGAGGTGAGACATGCGCACAGCATGTATGGTGCCAAAAGGAAGCAGAGGGGACTTGTTGTGAGTCGACTCAAAAGTCACCCTTTCCTGGCACGTCAGAGGGGAGAGATGGGGTTGTGTGGTGTGGTGTGGTGTGGTGTGGTGTGGTGTGGTGTGGTGTGGTGTGGTGTGGTGTGGTGCTGAGGGGCAGGAGAGAAGCAGTGGTTACTCACTCCCCCTGCGCCCTGCCCCTACACGCGGTGCCCCTTTGCGGGCGGGGTGTTTGTGCCAGAGCTGCGAGGGCAGTTCTTTGCCACCGAAAACTTCTTTTACACCTCTGAGGTGAGACATGCGCACAGCATGTATGGTGCCAAAAGGAAGCAGAGGGGACTTGTTGTGAGTCGACTCAAAAGTCACCCTTTCCTGGCACGTCAGAGGGGAGAGATGGGGTTGTGTGGTGTGGTGTGGTGTGGTGTGGTGTGGTGTGGTGTGGTGTGGTGTGGTGCTGAGGGGCAGGAGAGAAGCAGTGGTTACTCACTCCCCCTGCGCCCTGCCCCTACACGCGGTGCCCCTTTGCGGGCGGGGTGTTTGTGCCAGAGCTACGAGGGCAGTTCTTTGCCACCGAAAACTTCTTTTACACCTCTGAGGTGAGACATGCGCACAGCATGTATGGTGCCAAAAGGAAGCAGAGGGGACTTGTTGTGAGTCGACTCAAAAGTCACCCTTTCCTGGCACGTCAGAGGGGAGAGATGGGGTTGTGTGGTGTGGTGTGGTGTGGTGTGGTGTGGTGTGGTGTGGTGTGGTGCTGAGGGGCAGGAGAGAAGCAGTGGTTACTCACTCCCCCTGCGCCCTGCCCCTACACGCGGTGCCCCTTTGCGGGCGGGGTGTTTGTGCCAGAGCTACGAGGGCAGTTCTTTGCCACCGAAAACTTCTTTTACACCTCTGAGGTGAGACATTGGCAGTGTGTGGTGTGGTGCAAAGGGGAAGCAGACGGGACTTGTGAGTCGACTCAAAAGTCAACCTCTCTTTACACGCCTGAGATGAGATGAGTCATAGGTTGTGTGGTGTGGGGCTGAGGGGAAGCAGAGGGAGAGTTGCTTCTTAGGAGACTGAACCCTCTCGTCTTTCCAGTGAAAGCTGCTTCCTTTGAGGCGCATAGGAGTTTACATGTGCCCTTTTCCACTAAATGTTACTTCCACATGGAGGTGAGGTGAGGTGAGGTGAGGTGAGGTGAGGTTAGGTGAGGTGAGGTCTGCGATGAGGTGCGGTGACGGGTTGTGGTGAAGAATATGACACGTTCAAAGTCAGTTGTACCACTTCCGACCCCTTCCAACCCCTTCCAACCCCTTCCAACCCCTTCCGACCCGTTCCTTCATCTCCTCTCATTCCGCCCTTCTCTCACTCTCACTCCCACAGTTTCTGAAGCTCCCAGCAACAGCAACCCTGGCGGAGTTTGCGGCTGCAGGCACAAGGCACTGTGCCCAGGGCCTTCTCCCACCGCCCTCTCCTGCTCGTGTCAAACACACGCTGGAAGCACAAGGCGATAGTCAACGCGGGGGGATGGCTCTGGGTGATGGTCAACGCGGCGATGGTGCTGGTGCTGGGTCTGGTGGTGCTGCTGTGGGTGCTGTGGTGGCTGCGGCTGTTAAGCTGTCAAGAAAAGAGGGATTGGGAATGAGAGGAGGAGCGGGGAGAAAGAGGGAAGGGAAACCGGGGGAGGGTAAAAGGGGAGTGGGGGCAGGGGGTGGTGAGGAGGGAGGTGGGGTGGTGGTGAGTGAGGAGGAGGTGAAGGAGCATGGCAAGTACTGTTTCTCGGCGTCCTACATTGTGGCCTTTCTGCATGATGCTCTGGGGGTTTCCCTGCACGATACCAAGTGAGTAATGAAAATGTACTGGTGTATGTAGTATACATATACATCAACACAACTGCAGGAAATGCTGGGCATGTCATGGTGCACACGCATTATTTCATCTTCACATCATCCCATCAGTGCACCCATTCGTTTGGCACATGCCCATGCCCATGCCCATGCCCATGCCCATGCACATGCACATGCACATGCACATGCACCCACTTGTCGTCTCCGTTTCTTCCCTCCTCCCTCCCTTCTCCCTCGTTTCTCTCGCCCACTCTCATCCCTGCCTCCTGCTTGTCCTCGTCCGCTCACCCCTCCACCAATCAGGGTTCGCTTCACCAACCGAGTGGGACCGCATGACATAGACTGGGCGCTTGGAGCAATGCTCATGGATGTTATCACGCACCGCCCCATTCCCTCCAAACCCGTCAATCGCGGCAACGAGGCACGAGTCAAAGCCTCTGATTCGTTACGAGCGGACGAGAGCATAGGAACCATCATGATTCTGCTTCTGGTCACGGCTCTGTTCCTGGTGGTCATCACGTTGTTCGTTATAAGCACATATTTCCGACCGATCCCCATCCCGACCACGATTTTCGACCTGGAGAAGGGCCGCTACTTCACAGCTAGTTCGTTTGGGCAAGCAGGCATGGGTCCCGTTGGTGGATTGGGGAGGTCGTCTGTGTTAAGAAACGCACCTTAGGACAATATATTATATTAATCACTTGAGAAGAAAATCATACATGATTTGGGTTTTGATTTTGAAGCAAAAAATGGAAAAGGAAATCCGCTTGGTGTTGTAGAGTTGCACCTGAATTCTAGAAACACTATGTATGCTGTGTTATCACTGTATACCATGTATATTAGAACACCTGGTCGTGTTATTTCGAAAATAGTTAGCCTCACTGAGGTGAACTACTACAACGGTGGCGGTTCCTTTCCTCTGATTGTGTCACATTCCAGAAAACATGTTCCCCCACAGGCGCGTCGCTGCCACACCGCACCGCTAGTCAGGCGCTCCGCAGCTACAGTTTTGGATATCGTTGCTTGTGGGGTGGGCCAGATTTTGCCAGTCTCCGCAAATCTGCGGCGCGCTGTGTTGCGAGGTTCGGTGGCATCAAGTCGTTCTTGCCTCGGCGCTCGGCGCCGTTGTTGGTGGGAAAGTCGGTTCGGGAGAGGGGGATGGCTGTGTGGTGTGGCAAGCGCCAACATCAAGCAAGCGGCTTCTCGCATGATTTGGCGGCTAAACGGCCACGCGCAGAGCTTGAAGGCGAAACTTTTCGACTGCCTGCCCCTCCCTCCCGCTTCCCTCCTTTCCTTACCTCTGCCAGACCGAAATTGCCGAGCCGCGTCGCCCGCGCAGCTCCGAAACTTTCGTCAAAAGTCGCATCGGGTAGTCGCGGGATCTTTCATCGGACTGCTCATTCGTCGTTGTCAACCACACGCAGTCGCACACTTTATCTTCTAGTCGCACAGCCCCAGAAATATACCTCATTCGGATTTGGTAACAACAGTGTGCCCCCTCCCTATCACAACTCTTCCGCTCAACTGCATTTACCCTCAGCTGTTCCCTTCCTCCAAGCTGGGCCTCTCACCTCATCTCAACCCTCTCTTCCGCTCCTGAGCTCAGCTCTCCAGCTTCTCGACTGTTCCGCCTCTGCATTATTGTCAGTTGCCGTCGTTGCTAGGGTTTGGCCCGTTCTCTTACAGAGTTTAGAACCTCGGAGCTTTAGACGCACTCGCACAGAATGGAGGACGCTTGCAGCTCCAACGCGATGATTCTCCAGCAGTTGGCAGCCGCTTCATCTCACACGAAAAACCGGAACGCATGCGGAGGTGTGTTCTTGGATCCCATCGCGTCGCAATCAAACCAAGCAGCATTGGCAAATTATGCTCTTGCCGAACAGCTTCGCCGAGCTCAATTAGCTGCCGCTGCCGCTGCAAAGGGTCTAACACCGTCTTCCGCGAACGCATCCGCCGCGGCGCTTCTCGCGGCGCAACAATCCATGTCGAGCCTCGCGATGGCAGCCGCGATGACTCCTGCCCAGCAGCAGTGGGAGCAGCAGCAGCGGCAGATGCTTTTGCTACTGCTGCAGCAGCAGCGACAGCAGAACGCACAGCTGTATATGCATCGCATGGCGCTCCTCTCCTCCGCTTCTAACCACTGCAGGATGCAGCTGCTTCAACAGAGCCAGCAGAACCAGCAGCAGAAGCAGATTAACTCCATCGCCTCTATGATATCCTCGCTTAAAACATCCGTCGACAACGAAGCCTCGCACTGCGAGTCTCCAGTCTCGTCTCCCACCGCATCTCACGGCAGCATCTCCATGCCGACCCCTGACCTTAACCTCTCGTCCATGAACCTCGCGCCGGTGTCGTCCGTGTATGAGGACTCTTCTGATTCCGGCGTGTCGCCTACCTGGACGTCGCCTCGCGCGGTCCACGATTTCAGCGCGTCGTGGGGAGCAGAGCACGACGGCTACGATTGCCACGCTGACCACGAAGAGGGTGCGGGTTTCGATCACGCCGCTGTTCCCTCGCTGCTTCCTCTCCCGTCGGAGGAGGAATTTGACTCTCATCTCGTCGCCGTGCAGTCTGCTTACGTCGATCAGTAATAGCACTCTCCGCGAGTCTCTTAACTCGTCCTTGATTCAACGAGTCCGCTGAGAGCATTGGTGCCTTCTTGCTGAACGCTCATGAGCGGAGCAGTCAGGGTTGTTGTAAACGTATCGCCGTTACCGGGTTACCGTCTGTATGTATGGTGGGCTTTCGGGGCCGGCGAGGGCATAGGCGGCTGATGAATAAGTGGCTTTTCCGCGCCACATCTGGTGCTTCGTAGCCAGAATAAGAGGCGGCTATTGCGGCCGCCCCTCACTTCGGATAATAATGGGCATGGGCTCTGAGCCTCTGAACGCCTTTGAGCTGTTGAAAGCCGCAGCAGCGGACATGGTTTTTGTGCTAAATTCCTGTACGTCTTCATCGTGTTATTGTTGTGTTGTACTGTCCCTATTCCATTGTGTACTTTGATGCATGCTTTGTATTCTCAACTTAGCTGGCTCATATGTTACCGAACTGTTGTGACTTCGAATATTGGATCCTTTTTAATTACGAAGAGACTTTGATCAACTTGTGACTGTTTAATGATGGGGGATGATATGTACTATGTGGTGCTGGTGCGTAAGCATGATTTAGATGTTCAATCTGCATAAGCCAGGGACTCATTATCTCGCAGCATAATGTCTAAGGGCGTGTAACCATTTTGCTCCCGACGGTTCGAGCCGTGGACCGTCCGGTTGACAAAAAGGTTACTTGTTTCGCGCTCTCTCGTTTAGGTTTTCGTGAATGCTTGTGCGACGTCGCCAACAATTCGAACTGTGGTGACACTTTTTCCTTCTTTCAACGGTTCAGAATGTGAACCGCGGACAGTCCGAAACCAATGCCGCCAGCCCTGTCTAGAGATTGGCGTGCGAAACCCAATCTACAGTACCTTGTCCGATTGGCGGACGAATTCAGATAACGAGCTTTCTCGCATTACGTTACGAAGGTACACCGTCTCTAACGAAGCTACAGTTCTCGCCAAAATGATGAACAAGCAAAAAAGTGTCACTTTCCTATCCGGACGGTGGAAAAAAACCGAAACGTAAAAACGGACGGTTCTGTTCTCGTGAGTTGGACCGTCCGTTTCAAAAAATGAGGACCGTCCGCAAAAACGCAAAAAAAAATCAAAATGGTTACACGCCCTAAAATTACATCGCATCTAGTGCATCTAGTGTACCGAGTTGCCTCGTCAACCCGTGCCCTTCGTTCGCTGCACACCTGCCTTTTAGGACCAGCGTGGCAGCCTGACAAGACAGCTGAACCCAGGGCCAGTGGCCAAACCACACCAGAAACAGTTCAAGCCACCCCCTTGCTGCCGAGCCGAACTTTGCCAAAGCAAAATAGGGTCCCACCACCTCCATTCAGACCTCTGCACCACCCACTACACTCCAGCACCTCCAACCTTCTAGTCGAACCCTCCTGCATTCCAGTGGCTCGGACCACAAGTTTTGGGGGCTCTGAGTTCTACTGTACTGGCTACACCATTACAGTATTGCTATTTTCAAACTGCGAAGACATTTCGACATGTAGACCCCGTTCAAAGTGATTCTATTTTCAAACTGTGAAGACAATTTGATTTGTACCACAGGTTCTTCCCTTCCCTTCCCTCCCAGAGAGCGAAAATCCGCCCGAAAGAATGAGACTTTGCCTGAAATTGGCGGTCAGTCTGAAAATCCGCCCGAAAAGGGTGCAGTATAGTGTACCTCCTCCCACCCAATTTTCCGACCAGCTTCTTGAGATCAATCATGAGACGCACTAACAATTTCGAGCCATGCCCGTCGGTACTGCCAGGAAGTAGGGCTGTGGATTAGCGTTACGACTGACGACTAGCCTATGCTTTGCATGACCCGCATCGTTGGTTTGTTGGTCGCTGCGGTGCGAACCGGCCAGCAGCGTCGCATTCCCTATTAGGCGCTTCCTAGATGAACTAACCTGGACTCTCACAGTTTTCCGGCTTATACAAGACGAGCAATGCGCATCGTTAAAGGGCTTCATCATCCTTCTGATTCAGTCGCGCCTATTAATCTCCTGGTCGTCGCCTTAGGGAATGTCCAGGACGGGTGGGGAGTTGAGCTAAGCAACAAAAGAAGCTGTTCGTTTCTCAAAGGAGGAAAACGCACCTGCAGGGGGGTTTCGGCGCTACAAGGATACTTCGCCTTCCGCGTTCGTGACAGAAGTTTCGCCCGTTTGAATCTCTTTCGCGATTGTTCGTCCGGTTGGGGTCTTGACTCTGGTCTTAGTCCGGTCTCAAAAAACAAGGAGCGGAGGAAAGCCAATTAAAGCCGGAGGAAAGCCAATTAAAGCCAGAGGACTTTCGAGTCGACTCAAAAGTCACCCGGGCTTTAAGAGGCACACGTATGAGCTGCTTTTGCCCCCCGGACGAAGAAATCTTCGACGAGGAAAACAGCGACGAGGTATCTTCCAGAGGGCCGCAACCATGCGGCGGCGAAAACACTGCTCCTGGGAATGGCGTTCACCAACAGCGCGAAGCTACGTCAGCTGGAGCCACGTCAGCTCCTGCTGAAGCAGGTACAACCCCGGCCATTCCGCCTGATGCGGCTGCAGCGTCGTGTTTCCCTCCCCCTCCCCCTGCTGCGGCATCCGCGGACTCCAGGTTGCGCGCAATTGAAGCCTTCCCCTTGCGGCGCAGCGCTCTTAAGCGAAACTTGGGCGCTGGGAATCAGCAGCAGCAGCAAGCGGAGGGACAGGCGCAGAGACAGGCGCAGGGGCAGCAGCGGCAATGGCAGTCGTGGTTCCGGAGTCGTTCCCCGCAGCAGCAGCAGCGGGACGGCGGAAAAGGCGGCGGCGGCACCCGCGCGGAGGACGCGGAGGCGGAAGACGACGACGGGCGCGCGCGGGACGTTTGGGAGGCGGCGGAGGATAACACGCTGGGCGCGTGGGCGAATCCGGTCTCCGCCTCCCTCCGCTTCACCCGCGCGGCGCTCACGCGCAGCAGCAGCCGCGCGGCGGCGTCGATCCGCGACGCGCAGCACCTGCTGTGGCACAGCATCGGCGGGGGGAGCGGGCGCGAGGGGACGGGGTCGAGCAGGCAGGACATGGGCGCAGCCGCGGACCAAGCGGTGCGCCTGGCGCGGACGAGCGAGGAAGGGGAGAGGGAGGGGGAAGAGGAGGAAGAAGAGGAGGGGGAGAGGGAGAGGGGAGGAGAGGCGGAAGGGAAGGTGACGGGGAAATGGGGTAGAGGGGCGGCGGATAAGGGCGACGAGGGGCACGGGGCGGAAAAGGTTGAGAGCGGTGCAGGGGGGGTTGGATCGGCGGGGCTGGGCGGGGAGAGAAGAGAGGGGGTTGAGAGGCGGAAAGCGGACGGTTGGGTGCGGAATGATAGAGACGCGGAGGGAGGAGGTCGAGAAGTGGAGGGAGCGTCTGAGTTCCCGGATGGTGATGGGTTGAAGGAGAGTGGTAAACTAGGTGTGGTGGTGGTAGGCGGGCGTTCTAACACCAAGGGGGCGGCACAGGTTGCAAGGGGAGCGGGAGAAGTGGGAAG